AAAGGAGAAAGAAAGGAGAAAGAAAGGAGAAAGAAAGGAGAAAGAAAGGAGAAAGAAAGGAGAAAGAAAGGAGAAAGAAAGGAGAAAGAAAGGAGGAAATAAACACACAGATCAAGGTATAGTATTTGATTTAAGGCATATTTCTAACAAAGCGGGGCCCAAGGCAGTGTAATGGTGCTCCCCAAAACAGGATCTTCCCTGGGATGCAGAAAACAAACCCAAAGCTATCCAGACAACAACCAGAGGTCRAGGGTGAGATGCTAAAAGCTATATCATTATTAGTGGTCTCAGGGAGCTTTAGTTGCATGTGACTTTGACAGTTCAGTCATAAATAATGGTGACACAGATGGGAAAAGGGAGAAACTTCCAGGATGTTGCTTTTGTCTTTCCAAGGCAAAATGGAACCTCCTAGTCCAGGACATTCAGCACTCCAGGACCCCGAAACCACGCTCACACTCACACTCACACACAAACTCTCTCTCACACACAGAGGACATGGAAATAAAGGAAGGACGAGGCCATCAGCCCTGCACAGGGCCCAGCAGGCCGCGCTGCCCACGCGGGCCGCACACGCCGACCTGCGGCGCACACCGACCCCTTCGCTCCTAAAATCACACGCGCACCCACCCGCAGGCCAAGGTTTCCCACACGGAAAGCCAGGAGAAGCCCCCGTTTCTGTGGAACCACCCCGATTCCCTCCCCGAGCGCTTGCGTTCCCGCTGGAGCCGCCGCACTCCCCCCAGCCCCGTTACGGGCAGGGCGGGCGCCGCCACCCCCGCACCCACCCGGGGCTGCTGCGGGAGCCGAGCGCGGCCGCCCCCGGCGCTGCTTCCTGCTTCCCGGCCGTCCTTTCCCTTTCCCTTTCCCTTTCGCTTCCCGTTCCCGTTCCCGTGGCCCTTCCCGTGGCCCTTTCCGGCGCGCGGAGCCTCGGCGGCGCCGCCCGCCGGCCGCGGCCCTGCCCGGTGTCGCGGCGCCACCTGGCGGCGCCGCGCGGGGAGAGCGGCTGCTGACGGAAATCCCCCTTTCGTGAAACTCCTGATTCCTAAAATTCCCGTCTTCTGAAATTTCTGTTTCCTGAAACTTATGTTTCCTAAAATTAATTGCCTTCCGGGAGTTTCTGTTCGTTTTCTGGGGCGCTGCTGAGCTGATCCCCTCAGAGGCCTGCGCGTGAGCTGCTGGTGCAGGGCCTGTTGCTACCCGTTTAGCTTTCCTCCCCTGYGCAGGGATTTGCTTCTCTGCTGCCTTGAATTTTCCCTGTGGTTTCACTGCCTGATGTTATAATGTTGTGCCTCATGGTGAATGAAACCCTTTGGCACAGCCGGGTAACTGAGCACCGTCGCTGCACCTTGGCCATCCCATCCGTGCCCTCCTCCAGATGTTGAGCAGCAGGAGGACAGGTCCTGGCAGGATTTCCCACAGTTTTTTTTTTTTTTTTTTTCCCTACCATGGCACCTAGTATTTATCTGTCCTCTCTAATTCTCCCTCCTTTGATCAATGGTTTGATACAAGAGCCTCCTGTAGGAAATGCAAGACGACTTGGATATACCAGATTTGTTCTATAGCCCCCTGCTACTTCTCTGGAAATTTTGTTCAGTTTGGTAGTTGCTGAGTTGGTAGGGTTGAGTTGGACTGTACATGTGCAATGAAACCTTTGGAATCTCCTAACAGGAGGCATTCCAGAAAACTGAGACTCATGGAACTATTTCTCATTTTCATCAGACAAGTTTTCCCAAGAGCACGTTCAAGAAAACCCTTCTGTGCATAAGCCCTGAGAAATAGCCTGCATGCAACAGGTAAACGTCACTGGTTTGGGTGACGAGCTCCCCATAGAGCACCAAATTCTGAAGACTTCACTTCATTTTCTCTCCTCTGTTGAGGTTACACACAAACTGAATAAAAGACTAATTTCTGTGTGTCAAAATATTCCAGGTAAATGTAAATAAAAYATGGAAGTGAATTTAAATGAATCCACCTTTGTATAGAAGGTGGGCTTCCTCTGCAAGTTCATTAGTAGTTGTTTCTCCGTCTTGTTTTGGCTAGGTCTCATTTGACTGAGCCATTCTGGCTTTAAGTCCCAGGTACAGTCTGGTAATTCTGAAATATGAAGATGTGAATTTTAAATCAAGCTTTTGAAAGGAGCTGTGTACAGGCCATATGGCTAGGTTGGCTCTGYTAGTCCTGTGTTCACTATCAACTAAATTATCTTTTTTAATGTTTCCTTGGTCAGTTTAATAAGCTTCTTATGTGGAGGCTCACTATCAGGGTCTCTACCTCAGAAACAGGGTTTTAATACGTGGAAGCCTGAAATATGCAGGATGAGCTGTGATCCCTTGGCTTCCTTTGCACTGTCGTTACTCATTCTTTCTCAGAGCTCTGACTACATGGGAAATGTGACTTTACAGAAGGTATTGGAAAGATGAAGCTAGCAGTATTGTTTTGGCAAGCCTTCCAGAAATGATTATTCTGTCACTCAGTAGAAGAAATCAGAGGCACAGTGGGGTATTCACATACATCRCAGTTTTCCTGTGGTGCTTGTGGTGCCCAGAATCCTTCTCCAAGCGCAATGATTTCTCTTCTGCTTATGAGGTTTCTATCCTCTCATATACATAGTTCTCTGCTTGCTCTGATGTCTCACCTCTCCACTTCTCTACAGCCAAGATCCTCTGTGTCAGTGAAACCTTTTATCAGCCTTGTCAGATGATTAGGTCCCCACAAGGTGATGCTCTGCTGTGCTCCTTGTCCCTTGCAGTTTACRTTTCAAAAACAGTTGGCCAGTGGGATAGTAGATTCTTTGTCCAATACAATTTCCACAGAGAGATAACAAGAAAAAATTAAGACTAGAAGAGTTAATCTGTGGACTGCTTCCTGACCCACTCTATCCTGGTAGGAGCCCAAGGATAAGGKAGGCAGTGAGGTGGATAAAATGCTCTGGGAGCCAACATCCTCCTTGCTGCTTTTCTCTTTTTGAAGACAGGTCAGGCTTTTCTGTCCCAAGAATGTGTTTTTCTCACTGACATGCTCAGGGCTTGCTTGGTGTGCTATGAGTTGTGTGTGTGAGGTCATGTAGCAGATGCGATGCCCATGTGCACTCCCACCACATGTCCAGAAGTGATGTATGTGAATGTGCACATAGTGGCCATGGGGCAGGGAGTCTCCCACAGTGCTCATGAAATGATGCACGTGTAATTTTATGAATGAGAAATAAATAAAGAAAGAACTTCTGAAGGTAGCCTGACATGCTGGCAGAAAGATGGCATCACTGCTCAGCTGTTAATCCTGCATTATCAACMTTTGGAATTTTAGTTCATCATCAAGAAGAGTGAAACAGCATGAAGAGATGCAACAACCAGTACAGAGAGCAGATAAGATTTTGTACATGTAATGAAGTTGCAGTCTTCAGAAATTAAAGAGCATAGAGAATTCCTAAAATGAARCAGTTTTCAAAAAGTGCATACAGAGATCCTTCATATCACTGCATAACCATTTACCTTCAGATTGAATTAATAGCCACAAATTTTCAAAATCGTGTTATTGCTGGAGAAGAAGTATCAAGCTTATTACCTACTTAATTCTTGGCACAATTTTAGTGGAGAAGTCAGTGCAAAAACAGTCACCTGGCTATATCACATATACCGGATGAAATGGGCCAGCATTCCATAATAACCCTATAAAGGAAGAAAAACGTTTGCAAGTGCATGTGCTTTCTTTGCAGGTGTTGGRTGGTTAATTAAGGTGACATTAATTCCCAATGAATTAATTATGAATTGCTCATCCATTTCTTATTGATTTAAATGTCCTTTGCAAATTTTATCTTTGAGATTGGATATCCTATTGTCTAAAATTAAGGCATCTACCTGTTTAAAAAAAAAATCAAAAAAAGAAAGAAAGAAAAAATGCTTGCCATTTTTCTGAAGAGACTCCTGCAGAATGGATAATGAAGTCATTTTTATTAATGACTGTGAAAATCAAAGTCTCATTGTCAGTATTTCCTGGAGGCTTTATCTTACAAGGAAGTGCACATGAGGTTGAAACAGTGTCACAAGAAATTTTCAGGAGCAGAGATGACAATCTGCCTACACAAAATGAGAAGAAATTCTCTTGTGATTAAAATATAATTGCTTTCAAAAGCAAATGCAATATTTACCTATTGAATTTCCCAGGCATATATACGAACGGGGTATTATCAGACAAAGCAGATTTAGTTGTGTTATTTTTTACTGCAGTCACTGTGTGTAATACCCAGAGACGCTGAGCAAGAGATGATTTACACTAGATGCACACTGAAAAAGTAATCTGCTAACAAAGAAATTAATATGAATGCTATGTTATTGTGGAAAAGGAGGCAGACTGCTATTTGCATTTTAAGTAGTTAGAAAGTGATCAGAAGTTAGTCTAATGGATACAATATGAAATTAAATGGATAGATCCAGAGGTAGTTCTGATGTTTGATTTCTGAGAAAGTAAATCCATTTTACACATCAGTTCTCCGTGATACACTTGGCAAAAAAAAAAAAAAAAGCACATGCATACATTTGTGTTGTTGTTTTACAGATTTATGTAGACACCATAAACTTCTTAGTTTGGGATTTTTGTTGTATGCAGAATACTTTTCCTGGGAAGTAAGAGTTAATTCATGACAATATGCACACTGTAAATCCTTTTTCAGAATCTTTCTGGCTCACTTAGCTTATACAGATTTACTAGGGCTTATTATGTTACTAGTGCTTTAAAGATATTATTTTTAGAAGAGAAATAATGTAACCATCTTACTAGTTTTTATCTTTTTTTTTCTTTTTCTTTTTTTTTATTGTGCTCCCTTTCATTACTCTGAGCCGAGCTGTTCTCAGCTATAGTGACCACTTCCATAARGTCTGGTGGAGCTGTATTAATCCTCACATATTCCCTCCTGTAGTCACAGTTGTCCTGGACTTGTACCATTTACCTCTGTGAAAACACTCTCATTGACTTCAAAAGGTGTAGGAGTAAGCCAGCCCTGAAGATTAGGTAGAAGACACCAGGAGGGAAGTCTTTTTTTGCTTGCAGCTGTGAACACTAGGGGAGGAGTGGCTTTCACAGCAATATTTGTGGCAGCAATTTCTACTGTGACAGCRGTAGAAAACGGATACTATGGGTATATGTGGTATGACTATGTGCAAAGGTCTGGATGGCTGGGTGAGTACAGGGGATACTCCTCAGAATAGTTTATTTTACCACATGTGACTCCTTGCTCAGTTGCTTGCTTGCATTCTAGTGCCAGTCCTGTGGACTGAGATCAGAGCAATGTTTACTCAACGTACTTGCATTAACTTCATGTTCAAATGTTTCAGGACAATATACAAATGCTGTGTGTACTAAGGATAMGTCTAATCTCTTTGCTGACTAGCAGAGAAGCTGCTATTTTGATGCACTTTGATGCCATTATCAAGGCACTGCACATGCAGTGAAGATGGGGATGGTAGCTGTTGTATGATGCACTGTACTGAGCACTCCCAATGCCTCTCCCAGGCACAGCCTCACTGGTGGTAAATCCAGCCTGAAGGCTGGCAGTCCTAGGGCTTTGAAGCAGCTATTGCTCTTGTCAAAGGCACCCTCACTGTGTTTTCTGGAGGTGGTGGGCTCTGAATCCCTTGTCTCATAACTGGGTGAGTTACTCCAGCTAAGACAGTGCTTTGCTGGAGCATGTTCTGCACATGGGTGCTGACATCCCTGAGGATGAATTTCAAAGGCACTAGGTGCCCAGGCTGCTGCCTCTGGCTACCACAGGAACAAGCTTCCAAGTCCTCATAAYAGAATACCTTTCTAGGATTTAAAAAGTGAATTCTTCCCCCTTTTCTTCCTCTCCCCTCATTTACTATTCTTATTGCTCAGGAATTTGCAGAAATCCATAACTTTATGTTTTTCATTTTGAAATAGACCTCATTGCTTTCTCTTAGCATCTAAATATCATTAAAAATTCAGAGTGTTAGATGTCTGGCTACTGYTCATACAACAGTACATTTTTTCAAATCATCAAGAAACATAGTCTTTGAGTTCTTTAGATTCATTTTAGCTCATTTTATCTTTCTAGACTAGATTTAACTGTGGTCTCAAAGTCTTTGTTATCTTTTAATGGTTAGAGAAGTCCTTTTCTTAGGAAATTTGCAGAAGTTAGTCTTCGACACGTTTATGAATGTTATCAACTAATGAGATACAGTTTTTGCATGTGTGGGACCAAGCCATAGTCCATTAGTCTTCATTAGACAAGGAAAACAGAAGGAACACAATAAAATATGGGCAGCCAGCTATTATAAGGAGCAGTGTGAGTGTAGGCTGCTGGTGGAGGTTTAAACTCTGTTGAGATTTATTGCYGTTTCTAGGGGATGCAGGAAACAGAAGCAGGAAGGGAAGAGTGATTTTCAGGTTGACCTGCTTAKGTGTGTGGGGAGGTAAAGTCTAGGTAAAGTGCCAGGAATCCTTGTGGGAAACTGTGATAGTGATGGGGATRGAGAAGGGCGGGATAGACAGGGCTGGATCTGGCTTGGGATACAAGGATTTTGGGGGGAGAAAAAGACATAGAGATGGCTACACTTGGGATTGGGTGGGAGAAGGACAAGGACTTGAGACTGAGAGTGAAGGTACCTTTATTTATAAAGGAAATGAGAGCAGAAGGGTGGACAAGCTTACTTAAGGAAAGGGAATGGAAGCCGGTTAAAATGTTAGATAACATTGGAAGTATAATTGCCAGCTTCTTATAGTATTCCTATACCTATATTAAAAATGTACTAATTTTCATCAACTCTTGTCGCACATTTTGACAGCTGAACATAGACAGCAGTTTCATTTCTTTAAACTGCTCTTCTTGCCACCGGCATTTTTTACTTTTCAAATTGTGACAGAAATATCCACCTCTCTTTGCGATTCTAGCTTTCTTTATGTAGACTATTATAGATGTAGACAGAACATCTGACAGTAAACAGTGACAAGGGAAAATTTTCAGCTAGGAAAACACACAAGGCATTGCATAACCTTGTCATAACTGATCATAGAATATTGCAGCTGTTCACAGCTGTTTCTTTGAGCATGAACAACAGGGGTTTTCAATATCATGCTTCATAATTTATCAAATAAACTGAGCTGGAACTGCAGGAAATGATGACATCAGAGAAAAACAGCTGAAAAAGCAGAACAGCAGAAAAAGAAATCCTTTGTTTTTGATCCTTTTATTGTGTTTAATCTAAAGTCCAGGTGCTTGCAATCTGTGATATATAGCTACAGTCAAATATCCTTGACCTGAACCTTTTCTAAGTGCATCTGTGTGCCTTACTCTGACAAATTCCTCGACTCTCACAAACATTCAGAAAGAACAAGGTTATTCTGCATCTAACTAGATGGTAGAAAAGTTTCACACAATGTTTCTGGGAACAGCTTTCAGTCTGGGTGTTGTAAAACAGGCAGTTTTACAATCATCATTTGATTCTCTTTGTATTATGCCTTCTGGTTGCTGAAGAGTTTACTTGCAACAGATATTATCACTGAAGCAAAATTGATAGTTTTAAAGCAAACAAATGCTGGAAATTTCTTTCATATAAGTTTTTTTGTGATATCATTCAACCTAAGTGATTTGGGTTTTTTTATTTGTTTGTTTGGGGTATGGGATGAGGTAAAACATAGCAATTTTAGGTTTTTTAGATGATCGTGGTTCCTGATGAGAATCATTATATTGTATTTCAGTCAGGTATAATCAAGCACTGCCACACATGTTCTGCTCTCTTGTGCACTATTGTCTATTTAGTGGTGCGGCGGCACTCACAGGTGAAACACCAGGATTATTTCTTCATTCTCCAGAGGCTCCCAGGCTCTGTGCATGTGTGTGTGTGTGTCAAAGGGACTAGCATTTTACTTAGTGCATTGGATCATCCTTTAGAAACCTCCTTTCAGACCTGCCTCTTCCTGTAGTTTAGGCAGTCCTACGCTGAATACTCTGAGTTAATTTATTATTGATGTCTGCTGTGGCCAGGCACCCAGTTTAGAGATGTTCAGCCCATGCATTAGGCAGCTGAAGTGGGCAGTCTGAATAGATGCCATTGTGCCAGAGGACTGTAGGGAGAACAATTACCAAATTTAAGATTATTTTCTACAAACAGAAAGTTTGCTGCCACTTGCTAGCTCAGCAAGCCTATCTCTTGCTTCAAAAGTGAAAAATCTCTGCTTTTTTTTTTTTTTTTTTTAATTCTGAGTCCAAGCACAGAAGGCAAGCAACTTGGTTTGGACTTGGATTTGCAGATGGGAGAACCGAGATACTGCAGTAGGATACTTACTTTACATATTTGTCATTTTGTTTATGAAAAGTCATGGAATCTGAGTGAACAGTGAGCAAGTTGCTTGCAAGGGTTGCTTGAAATTGTGTATGTGTTTTATCTGAGTACCAAAGGAGAGAATTCAGTATGCTCCTTCTTCTACTTGCATTGCTCTGTTTATTCTATAAGAAACTCTGTTAGTCTGTCCTGTAAAATTATGCATTTGGAAGTGGGGTTTGGATTCTTTCAGTACTAACCTTTTGTTTAGTTTCCTGCTTTTATGATTGACAGTGCACATTGTGAAAATGAACTGGCTCCTTCCAAAGGGGTCTAATTTGCTTCCTGTCCACGTGTGCTTGACTCTTCTGGGAAAGTGTGTGGAGTGCACAATAATAAAATTACTTGGATCTCTTTTCTCTTCCTCAGCAGCCTCTGCATATGAATCAAGCTTAGCTGGATATCAAAGAATTACTTTCTCTTGAATAGGCTGCCTACTTGGGAATAAAACTGGTGTTTGCCATCCTCAGCTTTCTTTGAGTTGTAAAACATCTATTGCTTCACAAACGTGGAATGATGCGATCTCAGCACAGCCTTGTGCTGTGCATATCTGCAATCTGCACAGAAGCATCCAGTATGAGGGCAGCAGCTCCAGATTTTCCTATTCTTTTCTCTTCTTTTTGGCAGGATTATGGCAGTCCTTTCTCGTTCAGAACTCTTCAAACCTTTGAGGTCCCAAAGCCTTTGTTTTGCTTTCAGTGTACAAATGAGCACTGTGCAAATGACRTAACTGGGATTATCTGTCCTACTTCTTCACAGGTCAGAGGAGCTGGCACTTTATTTTYAGGGAGAGCAGCAGTGGCATGAAGGTGAGTTAGAGATACAGCAGAATCTTCACATGGAAACTCAGCTATGTGCTTGCCAAGGTCAGCTAGCGGGAAGTGGCTCAGGAGGAAACACTTGAAAGTGGATGGCGAGAATACCATCACTGTGACTCCTAGACATCTCAATTAACAACATCTACCACAATAAAAGTGTTGCTATTAATCAGGGYAGTGTGGGAGGCCATTTTTTACAGGTGCAGATAATTCTCCATTTATGTCAGTGTGGTTTTACTGCAGTGTGCTGTAAGATGGTGTACGTTACGCAGGGCCAATCTGACCAGCAGGAACTTAGGGTTTTGTGAATGTGGCTAACAGCTGAATCTAGATGCATGAACGAAGGGCTATTGTAAGGCAGTAAAATTTTGAAAGGCAATTCTAACCAATAATTTATTCACAAATGAAAAAAAAATCTAATGGTATTTTGAAGGGAACACTGTAAAAATTTCATCTTAGAATTTTCCAGCTTAAATTTCTAGATCTTCACAATCCTTTTAGTCTATATGTAAATGAATTTAGGGTGAAATATGGTTTCCATTGTGAAATCACCAATGGGATATTTTAGTGTTTCTAGTAGTTTCTACACAAGAATTTGAAACTCAAAGAGAGAGAAGGGGAGTTGTGTGTTTGTTCAGTTGGTTTGCTGCCTTTCTAATTTGCTGTTTGGGGAGCACAAAATTACTTGTCCAGTGTGTCACTCGGTGTACAGCAAGCAACTTGAAATAACTTGAGCTGAAAAACCAATTGCTCTGCAGTAGGAAAAAGGGCATGTGAATGTCTCGTCTCTTTTCCTAGGGAAACAGCATAATGGCACAGAGCATGTGTATTAAAAAAAAAGAAAAAAAGAAAAAAAAAAGAAGAAAAAAGGTAATAAGTCTATTTTAAAACCCTACTGTATGCTGGACTTTTCACTTTCTGAAATTCTCACTCCTGAGAAGCTTTTGTGCATGTGTGGGTATACATGCGTGGGTGTGCGAGAGAACATGGTGTCCTTTTGCTTAATAGTTTATTTTATGTTATTGCTTTGTGTTTTGCAGTCCCTCTAGCTAATCTGCAATTATGTACTGAAGAAAATAGGAACCAGGGGCCTAATATTACAGTAAATTAGGCAGTGAATTTCTACTTGAATTATTTAGTTTTGAATGCAGCCTTTTTTCTAACTGAAGTACAGAAATAACACATTAGGAATTAGGATACTTGGCTCCTTCCTCAGCAACTAGGAGACAGCAGTCAAACAGTGAAGAAGAATCCTTTTTTTTTTTAACAATGATCGCTCTGGACTTTAGGGGTGTTTCTCAGACCTTTATATTGCCTGTCTGGGACATTCAGTGGTCCCGTTGCTATGGCTACTGGGATTTTTAACTGTGTATAGAGTAGGAACAGAATAGTTTCTCTCCACAGTGCTGAAAATGCAGTTAGTTTGATTTACTAATTCACTTGGAGTAAGAGGCTGTCTGTGTTATGAGTCTCAAAAAATGTTATTCTCTACTTATTTTTATTTCAGATGTTGCCAAAAGTAAACTGTGTTAGCAAAAAAGAAATTTATAGAGTTTGCCTTTTCCTATTATCATTTATGAGGTACTTATTTTCTGTTGGAAGTGTGATCAGATTAGATTAGAACAGATTAGATTTCTTCTTATGTTCCATTTTTATTTAATGTGGATGTGGTAACATATCTATGGTCATGAATTTATTCATATTCCCATGAATATAGTGTTTTTTTTGATAAAAATTGTGCTCTGGTACCACCGAGAGGGGCTCAGATGAATTCTCTGAAGAATTCTCTCTATTTTTTTTTTTGTTTGATGCTATAAATGCCATAAAATTAGCTGTATCAAAAATTTGCTACTCTTGATTCTTTATGTGATGTTATGAATTCAGATTTCAAATTTTCACTACAAATAGTCATGCATCTTTAACTAAAAAAAAGAAGTCACAATTTTTATTTCATCACTAATGACCTTTACTGCTGGGGTCATGTCAAAAAGTTTATTTGCATCTGATTTTCATCAGTTTCAGTCATTTCTTCTGTTGTGATGATTAATGTTTACTTAGCCATTTCTAGTTAATTGAGCTCAGAAGGATCAATTAATTCACAGATGTTAGAGGCCTGAGACTGGCACCACACTTTACAGACAGATCAGCTATTTTGAWCTTTATATTACTGAATTCAGAAGCACTTCTCTGGGTCCAGATGGATATTCAGATCTGATCTCACCTCCTTGTAGCACCAGGTTTGGGCCAACACCTCCCCACTCAAACCTCTTGATTTCTTGCAGAAATGTACAAACTCTTCCAAGTAAGCTGTAAGCTATGTAGTCAAAAGATATGAATGAGTAAGGAAAAAGTCCGTACAAAAATTCCTCTCCTGGTCATCATTCTATTATTCTATTCTATTCTATAAAA